CCTACCCCACACCCTCCAGCCAAACCTAAATCACTATGGAAACCAGAAAAATGTATGCCTAATTTAAAACTCTGTATTGAAGAACAGGAGTTTAATTTGAAATTTGCCAAAGCTAAGAAAAAGGTGAGAAATTTTTGTTGACTTTATTTTTAATTTTGGGTAACCGTTTTGAGGTTAAAAGGGCTGCAAGGTAGACCAATCCTCTACTCCAGATCTTGATTTTATTACTATTTATATATAATGGTAGATGGGTCAAAGTTTCATGAATCTATCAGTAGTTCCTAACAATCAGTTTGAAAAAAAAAAAACACAATTCATTCCTTTTAAAACCATGACTGTAACTTTGTTTCAGATTAACACCAAGTTAAAACAGTCATATCATAATAGAAAGACCCTAAAATCTGTGGCACCGAGAATGCAGCCTCTTCCTCCACCTACTAATAAACTTAAATATGGTGCCAATGTCTTCCACCGTCGGGAATTAATCGTTACAGAAACGCCAGAACTTAAAAAATCTACAAACTGGAAAACATTTGGATTAGGAATTGGTACTCAGTGATTGGCATCATATGATGTTTATCTCTTGTGTTTTATTCCAGATAGTGGTCAGATCATATACTGAAACACTAGGACTCACTTAATGAGGTATATTTAAGCGAGTGGTCTGTTGTCATATTTCAGAGAGTGATCCATTGTTTTTGCCAGTTTACACGTGCCCTGCAATTTGCTTCCACTTGTTCCTCATATTATCGCCTCCAGTACCATAATGGAAATATACTGAAGGATATTTATGGTTTTGTTTTTAAGGCTAGCTATTTTCTTGTAATCTGTTGTCTAAACAGGTCATGCAAAGGCAGCATGTCAAAACATTGTGTGAAAACAGTTTTGGTAAAGGGGCAGCTCTATACAGGGCAAGCGTTACCTACTGTTACTGTGGATTATATCAAACTATTGACTGTTTAAGAAGCAGCAGAACACTGGGTTATATTCCTTATAGTAATTCTTTGCTGTGTTGTGATCTGATTAGACTTATTATAGAAATATTTGGCAGCACTAAATATGTATGAGATATTTTTATAATCTTTCAAAAATTAGTTTATGGATATGTAAAATAAAATATCTTAGGCTTATTCTTTATAACTTCTAAAAATTAGTTTCTTCTGAGACTTTGCATTTGATTATCTGCAAGAAAATACTGATTGCAGTCTGCCATCCATTGATAAATTCCAAAGTTTACAAAAATCTGTCCATGCAGCATTATTGTGTGAGCAAAATACAAAGTTTTTTTTAGAAATAAACAAAATATTATTAGAATATTGATTTTGTCTGATTTTGATCACATGATCTCCAGCAACTCAAACGAAAAAAATATGATAATAACCACAGATGTCTGACTGAATATTGGAATGGTGCAAATTGATGCTATCTGTGTCCCTGATACACTTAAAAAAAATTAAGAAAACCTCTTTTATTGCGATTATAGCTAAGTTTATTTTTCTTGCTTTTCCATAGTCATAAAATGAATGAATATATGCTTAAATGTAAATAAACAGTAAATTAAAATTTGTAAACAAAGTTAATTCTAAAGGAGAATTATCCACAATACTAAATAAACAGTTTATAAATGCTGTGAATATAAATAAGCACAGGCGATGTCTTAAGCTAAATCAAAATTTGTCTCTGAATAGTAGTAAATAAACCACAAGGATCAACTGCGGTAAGAGATAGATATAAATATTTATATTTCCAATGTTTAGGTAATGTCAAACGGAGTCTGTCATCTTTTGTTTCTTGCCACTGTAAAACATCTCCACCACCTTGGTTGGTGCCCAGACTAACTTCATAGGTTAAATCTTTCCAGTATGATTCAAATATATCTGTCCAGGATATCATTAATGTTAAACCATCTAATGTCTTGGCTATTTTGATATCTCTATCTTCTGTAATAAAAACATATGATTAAAATTTCCTCTTTAATATCTGAAGAACAACAGATCATCTGGACATAAAAAAACTTGTCAAAACAGCGCAGGGAAAACAAAACTGAAAAGAGGGCCCCAGATAAGATTCAAATCAACAATAGAACAATATTAAACATTATTCTTCAGCAAATAATTGCCTGCATGCCCCCATTGGTAATTCTATGGCTCTTTCTCTTAATAATTCATAGAACACTGAATTTATAGACTAAATGATATGTTTCCAAATTTAGCCACAAACTTTCAATTCTTACCTTTAACACTGGGTGGTTGATAACCAGTAGAGAAAGTCTGATTTATATAATTATTCAATCTGCCCAGTAAAATACCAGAAATATTCACCATATAGTTTGTGCCTGGTTTCAGTTTTAATCCTTGTAATTTAACACCATCATAGTTAATACCAGTTTCATCCATCTCATTCTCTAGTTTATAATCATCAGTAGATAGTCCAACCTATAAAACAATACAATAAACATCTATCTCTTTCTCTAGTTTATAATCATCAGAAGATAGT